AAAAAAAAAAAAAAAAAAAAAACAAATTAAACTTTTTTTTCAAACTGAAAACAACGACAAACTGTATTGGAAAAGTTTTATTTTACTTTTACAGCAAGATATTTTTTTTTTGAAAATTGCAGAAAAATGCCAAAATTCAAGTTAACATATCTGAAAATGCGATGGTTAGGAGAAGGAGCAAGACTGTTATTCCACTATGCTGGTGTAAATTTCGAAGATGTTCAAATTGAGCAAGAAAAATGGCCAGAACTTGGTTTAAGTTAGCACTTAAGTTTTGTTTTTTGACAATTTAATATCACACTACGTATTCATTTACTGATGATTATGATATCTAGAAGCCTGAAGAGGTTAACTAGTAAAATTGTTGCCTAAATCTTCTTGAGCAAATAATTTTCTGAAGCTGAAACAAATAAATTTCAATTTATACATATCAGAAACAACAACAGCAACAACTGCTGTATATCAGTGCAGTGATAAAACCAATTTTAAAGTTATCTATTAATACTATTGCAGAAAATCCATTTGTATATCAACCCACATTGGAAGTTGACGGGGTTGTGATAGATCAGAGTGCAGCAATTTATCGATATTTGGGCAAATTTTTTGGTATTCATTATTTGGTTAATATCAATAGAAGGAAAACAACAGTGAAAATTATAGCATGCCAAAATTTTTGGTGCTAATATGAAGAGTTTTTTACTTTTTACACCTCTAAAGTCATCAGTAGAATACACATTTTTTCAAAAATTTATGCATATACATGAAGGTACGTGTTTATTTATTATATTAGTTTGAAAAAAAAAGAAGTATTACAACATTTTTTTGCCTTATGTACATTTTAATATCTTTTGGACAACATAAAGTAGTGCTAATTTTGCTCAGATTTGGTTCCCGAATCACCAATAGACGCTGCAATTGTGGATTCTATTTATGATGCACATACAGATTTTTTAACCGAAATTACAGAATTTCTTCTAGTTGACGGCAACTACAAGGAGGGAGATAAGGTAGAATTTGCTTGCTTACTGCATCTAAATATTAGCACAGTATTTCTATAGCTAAACAACTTTATTTGTGTCACATATGACCATATTAAATTTTGTTTAATTTTACCATTACAGGATAAACTGATCAATGAAGTAGTTTATCCGGCTCGAGATCGTTATTTTACTGCACTAAGTAAGTTCCTTAAATCTTCCAACAGCGGTTTCCTGGTTGGCAGTGCAGTATCATGGGCTGATATAATTATCAGTGATAATTTATATGTCATCAATAATATTGTACCAATTTTTGATGGTTATGAAGAGGTGAAAAAATTTGCTGATTATATACATACATTGTCAACTTTACAGGAATATTTAAAATCTCGACCTCCCAGCAAATACTGATCTTTATTAACTGTTCATCAGTTTTTTCTTCACAAATGATACATTAATAAACTGCTTTATTTTATGTTGCTAACAAAAATCGAAGAATAACGATAGCATTCAGAAGTGTAGATAAATAATTTCAAATCATTCAAAGCAGCAGAATTCTTCTTTTTTTTGACTTCAATATCGATTATAATTTAAATTAACATCAAAATCAAAGCATTTTTTTTTTTTTTTTTGAGGGTTAAATAAATGTTAACTGTTGGTGAAAATATTTTAAAGACAGCATTGGTTTTGGGAAGAATAGTTTGATGAAAAAATGAAATATATATGCACACAAAAAATTTTTTGCAATTATTTTCTTATCGTTACTGTTGCAATTTTATTGTTATAATATCGTTGAAATTCTTCAAATATATCAGATATTTTAATTCATTCAGATTTACGTAACTGATTGTTGGAAACATGTCAGTTGTTAAATTAGTAATCATTACAACGTATATATAGTCAACTATTTGATTACAACCAATAGTGTTTTGATTAAAAAATCATTATAAACTGCAGATGTTAACTAAATGTTTAAAAAAAATGTTTAATATTAAGATAAAACTTTTCTCAATTGCTGGCAGATGTGTAAAAATCAGTTTACCCTTATTAGTTTTGTCTTAATTCTTTAGAGTCGATAGACTGATTGTAAATCTGATTGTTAAACTGTTAGAAACATTTGTCAAGTTGTGTTGATGACTTTTTTTTTTT